AAAAGGAGATGCCCTGGCATGCCAGCACATCTTCCCAACGCCTGCGCCCAATCTTGGACTGTCCACCGGTCAACATGCGGACGCAATCCGCGCGAGGGTGGTCCCTGTGGCTCTAGCCACTCGCGCACCATATTCGCGCAGATGTAATTCCATCCCCATAGTAAGAAATCGAGCTTTCTTGCTATTAAGCGCTCTTCGAAAGCGCGCAGCCCGTTCTGCGGCAGGCGAAGTGGCACCATCCGCAATCTGCTCGGTCTCGTCATTGCGTTCCTGGGGTTCGCTCGCCCGCTCATTCTACTTCCGCACTGTCCGTGTTTCTTTCTCTCTCGGCAAACTCTAATCGCTCTCAATTCCAAATCACGCGCACTCACTTCTCCCTCAATCAACAAGAAATCTCCTGTGTGACGACGTCGAGAATGGTCCGCAGCCAGCAGATGGATGCGCGCAGCGCGCACAAGAGATTGGAATCGCGAATTCAAGAATGGGACGTTCTCCGCCGCCCGGTCGAAGGTCATGGTCGGCTCTTGGTCGTGAAGAACGTCTCACTTGATGGCCGCGCCGGCTGTACGCTGGAACGGTCTTCGCTCTCACGCGCGGCTTCACGCTCCGCCGTCGTCGATTAAACTCTCACGCTCGAATTGGCGGATTTGAACTCCGCGAGCGTGTCACCCTGTGGACATGGGGGCGTAGCGCCGAAGGCGAGTTTTCCGCCTTGCGCGGTACACTTGTTCGTACCGCCCCTCAGCCAATCTCCTTCTGCCTTGACGCGTGTGTCCGCATGTCGGACAAAAATTCAACTCCTGCCTGTGCGCAGGCAGGGGCCTCGGCGGATTCTCCGCCGGCGCGGAACTTGAACATCCTCCTGTGCACAGGCGTTCGCCTGTGCGCAGGCGAATTCCGTCCGCGGCGCTGCGCTGGCGCGGAAGGCGTTGACCGTGGTCAGCCGTCTCCGTCCAGACTGTCCGTTCCTTGTCTCTCCGTCGGCGCTTCCACCGCCGCAACTCCGTCCGTCCAAGAGCGCATCCACCCGTGCCGTCCGCACGGTCCGTACCTGTTGGATTACTCTGGCGGCTCTTCCGACGTACGCGGCGCTGCGCTGGCGCGGAAGGCGCCGTACACTTTCTACCTCACAAGGCGCATTTCTAGGGCCCAAGGCGGATTTTCCGCCGACGCCGAAGTGCCTGTGCACAGGCGTACGCCTGTGCGTAGGCGGACTTCGCGCCTTCCCTAACCCTACTTCGCCTGTGCACAGGCGAACGCCTTCGTCCGCGCATAGGACAAAACTTGAATCCCCCTTCCGCGTAGGCGGAATTCGCGCCGGTGGCGAACTCCTTCCGCCGTAGGCGACCGCCTCCGTTTCTTCCAGTAGCGATAACTCCCTAAGTCCTCGTCCGTTCCAAGCGTTCTTGGGCTCGTTAGAATCAGCGCGTCGAGCTCTTTCCAACGGGACCCTAACTTGGTCAAGGCGCCCAAGGGTTGACCTAATTACGGGGGCTTCCCTACAGCCGCGGACGCAACCTCCGAAGGCGGGTTTTGCGCCGTGCGCCGTAGAGATCCTAACTGCGGAGCTCGCAGGGAGGGTGGTGCCTGTCCTTACTGCGGCACCCCAAATCCCAGATTCTACAAGATCCCTCGAGAATTCCCGCGATCTTCCGGATTCACTCTGTTTTGATGTACCGAAGGCTATTTACAATGCTGCCAGGGTACAGTTTTTCAAAAATGTTTTAATTTCCTCAAAATTGCCAAAAGTGGGGTACCACATGAAACAACACTCGAATTGAAAAAACTTGAAGTAGTAAGCAAGAGAAATAGAAGTATTGTTGTTATTTGAAAGAGTATCGATGATAGAAAGATTAAGAATAATGATATTCAGAGATTCTCTAAATATACTACTACTATGATGCTACAAGGAACTTTAAAGTTGGAAAATTGGCACACTCCAAAGTTGGCATTAACTCCGCACGGCCATTGCTACTCCATGTCAAGTCTGTGACAAACTTGAATAAAAAAGAACTTTTATTGATCTTATATGAACTAATTATCATATTTTTTTATGTGACAATTTCATAAATAATTCACTTAATATCTTTAATCTTTGTCTTTTGTAAAAATTTATTTTTTCAGAAAAACGATCAATTAAACAATTCTATTTTGATATACATGCATAAAACTCATGAGTATAATTAAATTATTTTACAATCTTATACACTAACAGTTTTGAATTAATGTAATAAAAGAAAGTATATAAAAAATTAAAATTATTGTATGATGATAATACAATCAATAAATTGAAGTAAACTTTCATAATAATTATCATGTCAATAATTTCATAGTGTTTTTTCAAATATTTGTAAATAGCAATTAGATTAAAAAATTATTTCATATTTGATAAACTTGAAACAATATTTAACATCATCATTTGACAAAAATTTGAATGAATGCGTTACAAATCATATATAATCTAATGAAAGACATTATATATTGCTTAAAGATCAAATTGTTTATTTTTTTCGAAATTCCAAGATTATGTATGTTGATATTGGGATTATATTTTGTGTGAATGCATATATCAAACATAAATAAAAATTTTGACCTCAAAATGCTAGCCATGATTATGAGATGAAAATTTTATACACCTCATTTATTAATTTGAAATTTTACATCATTTGTATTAGGTCATATTTAAATCTTCACATGTGAAACTGAGGATTTAAAAAAAACTTTCATACTTATTATCAAAGTTTTGAAAATTTTCTTTCAATCATATTTATTTATCACATTATAATTTAAATGAATGCAAAATCTTGTTTAACAATCTCATCATAAATTAAAACATATCAAATACATGCTAGTTCATAGCAAAATAATATATGTTCGTATATTAGATGGTTAGAAAAAACATATATAATCTTGTCTTAAAATCCAAAACTTTTAAATTAAGTTGAAAACAATAATATAAATTGCAAAAAAATTCTATAGAACATGATTATGATGTGAATAATTGATAAAGTTTAATCTACGTTGAAGAAAAATTTAATGATAAAAATATAACTTAAATCTGATAATTTTATTTAATAAAATTTAAATATAAATTATTTCATATTTATTATATAAATTTAAGTAAAATAGAAAATTATTTATTTTCAAAAACAGATTAAAATAATTGATAAAGAGATTTCAGATTGTGAATAAATTAGATTGTTTTTGCAATTTCTGAATTTTACTTTTATTGATATTAATATTACATAAATTTTTAATGTTGAAAAACATACAAATATAAAAGATTGAAGAAATCATGACCATTTTTTTATATTAAATGTGTTACTAGAGATAATGAAATGAGTGAATATGAAATCATAGCTATAAAAAAATATAAATTATAATTTTTCATATATTTTATATCATATACAATATACAACAATCTAGTTCACTATCATTTCACATTTATGAATAAGTATTAAATTATGAAACTGAAGACCATTAGTAATTTTCAATCACAACTCAAAAATCTCAAACTCAAAAAATTTAATAAGATACGGATTGAATTTGTTGATTAAAAAACAGAATCATCATGCAATACAAATTTTTGAAACGAAGTTGGCAAAATTTTTCTGTGTTCAATCAGATATAATTAAATTGAAACACAAAAAATTATATTATTGACAAAGTAAAATATTATCATCTATTTTGCACTTTTCTAACAATGCGAACTCAGACAAAAATTCTAATAGCATTTTGCATGCATAGTCTTTCACTCTACATCGACATCACCAAATAAAATTTTGCAGAAGATAAATTCCATTTTTTTCGGCAGAGTGATACCATCAACCATAAATTCAGTTGCTTTCTACCATCAGCTATAGATTTTTCTCTCTTCACATGATACATGTGTTATCCATACCTAAAGATAAAATCCATGTCGAAAACATGGAATTTGCCTTGAACGTTGTGTTCAATTTGAGTGAAAATAGTGAATGGCAAGTAGAAATACTTGTAAGCTAGAAGAGGTTCCAATTGCTTATTACTACTTCTAGAATTCAGATGTCTAATATCTGTCATGATACTGTATCCTATTCGGGAGAGAATAGGATACACTATCACATACACATAAATTGAGACACACAATGGAAAGAGTAACATAAGTGTAATTTGGTAAGAACTTGGTACACATTTGAAGAAAGTAACACGCAAATGGACTATACACATCAATGAATTGATTATACTAGGTAACAAAACCAGTAATTAATCATATTAATCAAGTATTTTTGAATGATGATAAAGGATTATTACCATGCCATCTCCTCTGTGCGAGAAACATGTTGTGAATGGAATAATAAATATATCTCAAGCTTTCATTCCATATTGAAGGCCAAGGCATGACCATTCCTGAAATTGATGCTGGACTGCACCAGCTGTCAAGAGTGTCACCTATTTACTAGCACAGTGCTTGAGTTGGCCTGGGGCCTTCACTTCATTTCCTCGACGACCCATAACTACAGGTGCGTGGTCCCATACAAGTGAGTGCAGATGACAATTAATTATATATATTACCCTTCAGATCAACCGACAACAGATTTGGAAGGAACATCCGGAAACCTCACAAGATAGTGACGAGATTTTCAAGCTGAGCCAAAAGATCACCTTGACCATGGATTGGGACTATGACCATCAACAGAAACAATTCCCAAAAAATTCACCCAAATTCTCACTGACTACTTTGATGTCTTCCAGGACAAACATGTCTACCGACAAATGTATGTAAACCGAAGCAGTCACAGATTACAAACTCTGTGACCTGTTATTGGGGCTCCGATTTCGCATCACACAGCCAACAACTAAACCCAAGTTAATTGAGATGAAGAATTTGACAGTAATAATACTAAAATCAGTAAGACTGTAGTTTGAAGACCATATACTGCCTTCTCAAAGGTATTCATGATGAATACCTTTGAGAAGAATTGCTAAAGGACATCAGCCCACTGTTAGCCTGTTGACAAGTGTTTGGAGAAAGAGTGTTAAAGGAATAATAACAAACCAATTGTACATGGTTTTCCGTCGATGCCTCAAGGGATTGACTGAACTCAAAACTGATCCTCATCTATGAGTCGATGCACAACATCAAAGCTTGCAAGCAAACAGTCCAGAAAGAGCTCACCAAGGATCAAGAAGGGCAATCTATAAACAGATGGTACATTATTATTAACACCCGCCTATATCTACACGGTTGGTAGCAATAATCTTACTGGTATTGTCAGACCAAGGAGATGACTGTAGCTCTATACATATCTAGATATCTCCTTACAACTTTCATTCTTTCAAACAATGAGAGACAGAGCTGGTACGAGCTGAAAAGTAATAGCTCTTGGAACCTTCTGTGCTCGCTTCGGTGTATGAAATGTCGGCCTCAACTTATGAGCTATATCCAGAGTGCGTATTTCTTGGCACTAGTTGAACACGCATCGCCAGCAGTTGTGCTCCTCCAGATACTGAAGTGCTGACCAATATAAATGACCCTACCTCTACTATGAACCGCATTCGCGACCCTTAAGCAATGATACTAGCACAAACTTCAATCAGCGATTGAACTATTCACAGTTTTGAATCAGGGGTTATTGGCAGACCCACTATTAGTGTCACACGGGACACCGCAGCCAGAATTTTTTTTGGAGGTGTGGTACTGGAATCGCTGGAATCGCTGGACTCGCTGGATTTTCTCTCAGATTTCATGGTCTCAAATTTCACCTCCCATACCTGTTCCACGAGAAACACAAGTCAGTATGAGCCTAAATAGATGTGATGCCCAAGTAATGCGTGTAGTGGTGGTGATAGTAAGATGGTTGAATACTGTGTCAGACGGTTCTTCACGAATACAGGTCCTCAGAATCAACGCCCCTATTTCTTTTGTCTCGTCTTTTGATTCGCATCCGTAATTGCAATCAATTTGCAATTGAGACTTTCGCAAGTTGATTGCAATGACACAAGTGGGCCTTTTTGACCCCAACATGAGGTTCTCCACAGGCTATGGACGAAAGATGATAAACTTCTATCTTCTGTAATGAATATAACAAGCTCTTCGAAGTTCATTTGCTGATGCGCAGAGAAATAAATTTTAGCGCATTTTAAGTACCTGTATTCTCTTCCCCACTCGCAAAGGAACAGCGGTGATTTCCACTTCAGCCCCAAGAGGGACAGAGTTGAGGTGAGAACAAGTGAGCTCTATACCCGCAACACGTTGGTACCCCGAAGCTATACCCGCGGACACGCTGGCAATAGTCTCGGCAATGTAAGCTGTTATTCCTCCGTGAAGAACATTGAATGGCTGTGAAAGGACAAACACGAACAGTTGAAGTCAGGATTTGAGATTCCAAATAAGCAGATAAAAGTTTCCACTGTATTGATTCCTTGATATTCAATTGCAAATCCATTTCTGATACACAGACCTCCATAGAACTTGGCAAGTGATGTACAGGAAGATAACTGGGAACATGAACCTGAGGACAGAAAGCGTGCTCTTGATACTTTTGTTCAGTTCAATTGAGAAGAGAATTGAACTGAACGCAAAACTTCTCTAATTGACAAAAACTCTACTTTCAGATTGGCACTCCTACAGAATTTCGGTCGACCAAAACAATTTGATGCGAAGGCTAGTTTAGGGGGCTGATCCGAGCTCTGGCTGCTCGTAATTTCGAAACGTCATAAAATTTACAAGTTGGTACGCACGCAATATAGCTAGCCCGCAATCGAATGATGCAGCTACACGCTTTAGGTGTGAAGCGTGGTTCACTTCACTCTATCGTGTGCACAAGCTCGTGGTCGTCTATCCTCAAGATGTGCTTTCCCTGTATAAGCTTTTGACTTGTAATTGAAGAGAGATTCCGGCAAGTGAAGACAATCGAGTGGCAAAACCGAAGAGGTCTGGCAGGATTACAGGGGCACGAAGATCTTCAATGTACAGCTCGCTGATGCTAGGTATGAAATACTTATTCCAGGTATTGGTTATTAGCTCCCACGCATGATTCTAGATATACCACGCTTGCGACTACTCTGGACGACCTTATGTCAACTGAATCCCTGGACTGCAATTCCGTATCACTAATTCAGCAACCACAAACTTTTAATGATCAAGTGCAATGTTCATGGAAAAGCCACAGAGACAAAGCAGGTAACAAACGCAACAATCACAAAAAAGCAGAAAATCCCCGACAGAGAATTGGCATTGGCGGTGCACAGAGCAATGCAAATTAATTGGCTCCTCAATTCGTGGCACTGCCGACGCTTTGTCACCGGTCCTGAACCTACCTGACAGGAGTTCTTCGAGACGACGAATTTGGCCGTCGACCTCGTTGCAGTCAGTTCATCCATCTCGCACCCAATAAATTTGAGAACCTCAAGTCCACGTTGCTCTCGTCTCGAATTAGTGTTGCTCTCGTCGTCTACAGAGTTTCCCTTGCCCGCAGAATCCTTCAAGACATCACCGCTCTCCATAATGCCGTCCCTACTCATCGCAAAGCGCCGGAAGAACCCAAAGCCTCCCTTCGCCTGACGAGAACCGAGAGCAGCTGCCGAGCCCCGAGAGAAGCACAATCTCTCCCTGCCTTCGACAGAATTCGAGGCCACGACAAAGGCTCGAGGCTTCCTCTTCTCCGTAAAGATGGAAAGCGAAGAAGCCCAGACTCGAGTCGGGGTGCCTCGAATCAGTCGAAGACACATCAGAGCACGTGCGATCTCCCGAAAAAGACTTTCCGCCCCCCACCGCGAGCTGACTAACAGTGCCCACTCCGGCGAAGACCGAGCGATTCAGTCGGCGAAAGTGCGAATCGGGGCTCTATGTTCTTCCGACCAGCCGGACCTCCAAAGACTCTGGTCGATCCCTCCCCGCCATGACCAAAATTACGACGGAAAAGCGCAACTCTCAGCACACCAGCTCCATGGCACTAGCGCCGTGATGATGCTGCTCTACGTGCGGGCGATCGAAGACGGAGATCGGTGGCGTGGGGCTCCTTCTCCTTCCACATTTAGAGGGTAGCGGGACGGACCGACGATTTAGCGGGATTCATTAGCGGGACTCCCTTCATGGAGCTGTCCCGTTCCCACGCCGCCCTCATGGACACGAGAATTTCGTTGGTGGCTCCGTTCTGACGGGGGCGTGGGGGATGTGAACGAGCCCCAGTTTAGGGTCTGTCGCCAAGTCTGCCCATCTTGAGACTTTTGGATAACGCCAGTTTCCGAAGGAATCAGGGATGCTCGTATTAGAAGTCAAACTCTGCTACAAAGCGAGCTAGAATCGCTCTCCAGAACCAGGTTCGGATAAATACTCCTTGCGAGATTTGCGAGGATCATTTAATTAATCAATTAATTGTTTTTTTTTTGTTTTTTTTTTCTTTGCCCCATTACGTTCTTTTGGTGCGGGACAAAGCTGCCAACTTTTCGAATTTAGCAGTTGAGATCATCACATTGCCTGACGAGCTGAGCCTACCAGAATATTCCAACTGGTACCGTGCACGGATTCCGGAACAAAGATAGGAAACGTGATATATTATATCTTCACTATTTGGGGGGAAATATTTATCGCCCATTACGTTCTTTATTCCGATATGGTAATATGATCATTTATTCTTTTCGAATTCCATGAATGGAAATAGAACAAGTTAAAGGGTTTTCTTCTCAAGATAACGTTCGCATTTCTATAATGTGATGCTCTACCATATTGCATGTAGAGGCATAACAAAGCATGGGATTTGGAGAGAATCAACCTTTGTGTGGGATTTGATAAGAAATTGTGAGTGAAAGCGACGTAATCAATTAAAACCCCTTTGTTTCTCGTTGTGGTCTACTTGACCAAGTATATGTAAAATGAAATTTGAGGAGAAATATTAGCTATCTCTTGTTCGTTTGGCAACTTGTCGGTTAATTTGTTGGCGTTTTCTTGGAATCTTAGAGGATGTGGTTGCATGTGTCTCCCCGTTCCCACTCTTTGAAAACGTGATGGTGGTGGTTCCTTGTGCCTATTCCTTGTGGTGCTCCTTGGAGCACCCTTCTTCATTTCCATTCTATTGCAAAGATATTCCATTGGGATGGACGTTGTCACAATCCACGATGCACTGGTTGAGAATTTTATTTTACATGGAACATTTCTTTCAATCGAAATTTATCGTAATACATGTCTTCAAGCTTATGTGTTTGTAGCAATCATGTTTTTGAGAGTCCAGATTGTCCACCAGTCGGCTACAAACGAAAATCGTCTTTCGTAAGCTCGACTTTGAAATACTCCACGTCAGTGTCTCCTGTTATATTGTTATTCAGATTATTAATATATATTCTGGATTGTTGATCAAAATCATGAGCGAAGTGAAAATATTTGTAAAATTTCATCAAATCTTTGGATTTGAATTATTTAGTATGATGATGTTATTTATAAAATTAATAACATGCACAAATATTGCATGCATTTTGAAGGAGATTCTAATGTGAAAATTTCCAAAAAGAAAAATATATAAATAGTGAGAAACTAACCGAAGATATCATATGTGTCATTTTCTTATATCATATTATCAAATTTCTCTAATATGATGAGCTATAAATATACATATGAATTAAACTATGTGCAAGTTAGATATATGTAGCAACTATTTACATGTTATATTACCAAATGTTTCTAATTTAATGATAACCTAGCGCAAATTATATACATATGAAATAAATACTTGCAAGTTAGTAACATGTAACAACCAACAATTTTTGAAGAGAGTAAATCCAATAATTCATACACATCTCTTATCAAAGTTAGATCATCTACATTTAACATCTTCTTGGTACGCATTAAATTTCTAATCAAAGTGAGATATAATTTTGAAGTTATGCTTGCTTATTGTTTATATCCAAGCAATGTGTAAAAACATAAATTACTGTAAAATCTGAATCAAATTTTTTGCGCCAACATTTTTTGGTCAATTTCTTACAGTTATTTTAAAATCTCTAAATAAATACATACGAGAGGAAAAAAATTGGGAAAAACTTTTACAACTTACTTTTGTTGATTCTTTTGGAATTCATTTGGAAAACCTGAAATATTGCATATTTATCTAACATTTATATATGAAATAAAACTTGCATCATTGCATTAACGGTCATATAAATAGTGCAATAAGCATTAGTTTTATTGTTAAACTTTAGTTGATACAAGATATATTTTTGACATTTGATATTTAAAAAAAGATGAAGTCGATGCTCAATGAATCTAAAGATCTAAGTTGTCTCAATTTTTATAAACGTGTAGTTAGATAATTAGTCAAAATGTGTAAAAAAAAAGTTTAAACCTCTCTCAAAATAAATCAATCTTCATGCAATGATTTTGAACACTTATAATAATATGCACATTGTATCTTTAGAACATTTAGAGAGACTAATTGATGATTTTTTAGCTTTATATTCTTCTCACGATCATTGTTTATTTATTTCAATCTCAATGGGATCAACATGACATTTTACAAAAGAATTCATTTTACATGAAGAAAATTCATCTTTCTCACAGATGCCTTTATTTCAGATTTAATTTGTGTTTCATAAGTTTTTATAAAGCTATCTAGCTATCAGTTTGGTAATATTTAGTGGTGTAATCATTCTATTAGCAAACAAAACATACATTGTGAATTTTGTAATTCGCATCAAACAATTCTTTAATTCCAAAGTAAATCAAAATTTATTTTGAAAATGACAGAGTCAAGGTATCAAGGTGTAAAACTTTTAAATCTATTAGATAGCATAACTTATACATTTGCTTCTTTTTATCATTGTTTAGTTTTGAACAAAAACTTTATATCATGTTTTTTCGGATCTTAAATTGCTTTATTTTTAATTTCTCGTCTCTTTGGCTGCATCTAGAGGAGTTTTAAATCGTTAGACTGGAACAAGGAAAATGTAAATAGATCAAGTCAAGGCCTGTTTTGGTAAAAGTAAATACTGTGAGTTGAAAACCATAATGTTTGGACTGGTTAAAATACATGAGCATGCATTTTTTTTGGTGAAAAAGAGCGTAAGAAGATCCTTATAGTTCAGAGAATGATCCAATCTAGTAAGAGAAAATCTAATTGGGATTGAAATTATATATCCATCACATTATAATCTAACTTTTTAGGCCAATCAAAAGGGGGTAAGAACCAAACCAAAGATCATTTTTTATTTTTGGGACTGAGGTGACTCTAAGTTGTACGAGAACATATAATCTTGAGTCCACATATTAAGATACATTTCAAAAAATAGAATATGTCATTCCAAATGGATGGGATTGCGTAGAGAATATAATCTGGATTGTCTCATACACCGACAATAAATCTATTGACAGACATATCAGGAATTACAGACATTCAGAAATAATTTATGTGTGGTTAACACACTCAAAGGTACTTGGGGTTTGATGATATAACCAAAAACTCATTTTATGTTAGTAATCAGATTATTTCAAACATGATAAAGCGAAATTTTGATATGCTACCTATTTACTTATATATGCACTAAAAGTCATACATTTGTTTATTTCAACAAAGGGAGTCAACGATTACACACCAGCAGAACGAGAGTTTTTAGGTCTGATTCTGTCAAAAACTGGGGGAAGCTTGGTTAGTACAGGAATGGGAGGAGGGTTTACGTATATATCTCTCTCCAGCCAGAGGTAGAAGAATGTTACATATATTTATTGCCTTTTTTGAGTACATTTTTTTCAGATTTCAGGTGCCCATAGTTTGTAATGGAAGCCGAAGAAGTCTCGGAGTTTTCGTTCACAGTGAGTCTCAACGGTCAACTCTCCATTTTGATTGGTCTAGTCAAAAAAATCTTTCAGGCCGATATTTTCATATATGTATGATTAGATTTCCCCATCTCCATATACTGTATGTATTTTAGAATTTGACTTGATATTTCTATCTCTTCATAATGGAATCTTTTATAATGTAAGCCGACATCTTTTCACATTTTAACTTGATCGCACATTCAGACTTTTGGCTCTCTCTCTCTCCTGTGGTTAGTCACAAGTGCAGGACCAGCCCTTGACCAGTCACTTCTGGTTGTTTCAATTGCAACTCTGAATGTGTTCCGTGTCTCAGAGAACAGATTACGATTAGACTCAACATACTTGACCTGATTGCAAAAAAAGCATCTTTAAACTCGTATCGTCAACCCAGACCACGAAATGTGCTCGCCATTCCTCATCTTCAGTCTTTATTGTAAAATTTATTTATAGCCCAAGAAATTCGTACTAGAACATTATAACAGTTGGTTCCTTCTGAGATCGAAGTTACTTGTGTAAAGGAGTCTTACTAAACGCTTTTGTTGAGTAGGGAGTTTACCTTGTTGAATTACCATGAGAACTGCCATGGGTAACACAACACACATCATTGAAGAGAAGAGAATGTGTGTGAGAGCTTGATTCTTCTTCCTCGATTACATGTAATCGATGATTTCTCTCGCAGTCTTGCCAACTCCCGTCATATGAATACAGTCGAAGTTGCATTGGAATTTTTGAGGTTCTAGATCTCACATGTCGAGAGATACATTGCACAGAAGTACCTGCATTATTTTCACTCTGCAGCTCGGGCAGCAACCCTTCTGCTCAACTATTTTATGTAAGCATTTGTTACAATAGAGGAAGTGCAAACATGGTAAAATTACTGCATCTTTAGGACAGGTCTTGCATAGGCCGCATATTACCATTCCCCTTTCCGTTCTGAGCTCTTCGTGTAAAGCATCCAACTCCCTCATGCAATCTTCCTCCATCGCTTGTAAAGAAACCTGGTGCCTGTCGTCTTTCTTCTTATGTTGACATTCAGATGCTTCTTCTTCGTCGTTCTGCAAAAGGAATTTGAGTTGGTATTCCAGCTGCTCACAGTCGATGCAAGCCTTGATCTTTTCCTTCTGAAGGTTTTCTATTTGGGTCTCGAGGCTGATTCGCGTTTCATCACTTTCGGCAATCACGGTGCTGATTTGAGATTTTAGTCTCTTCAGCTCCTTTCGGTAGACAAGGTTGGTTGAATTCTCAATGTCGTCGACCACTTGTTTGGTCATTGTCTGGAACTCCACCAGAATTTCGAGCGGGACGTTCCAACTCCCTGTTTGTATTTGCTGCCTAACAAACCTTGCGCTCTCATCTAGAGTTTTGTTGACAGAGGCTAGAAACAGAGCCCGAGCTGATGATTGACAATCGGTCTCTTCGGCTGAAGCTTGTGACGTCTTAATACTTGAAGATTGTTGCTTCATTCCCTCGCCGTCTTCTGCTTTGAACTCATAGATTCTTGAACGTGATCCATCTTGTCTCGCCGACAATTGCTCTGTTCTGATCTCCTCGAGAAGACTGGCAGTAAAGGAGCTGCTTCTTTTGTTTGTGTGAGATGATACATCGCTGATGTTGGGTGACAAACTCTTGCCTTCCATGATCTGCAACTTCGAGAAGAACATGTTAGACTTCAGAGAATTCATTTCTGCTGGACTCTTCCAATTCCCGTAGATGTCTACCACAATTGTCAACGTCAAAGCCGGTTCACAAATATCTTGCTTGCATTCTAGTCCTGGAGTCTTCAAGCTTTGTGAATCCTAAAGTGCTGGGTGTATCTGGTAGGCATACGAGGAAATAAACCGTGCTTGAGAACCGAAACATCAAAGGGCGTCAAGCGGTGAGTCTTCTCACGTCAATTGAAAGGATAGATAACAATAGCGTTACTTGTACATAATACATTTACAAAGTGAAAAAGGAAGGGTACTTGTGAACTTATTAGGGGCTCGTCCATGTCGTTAAAGTGCAGTGGAGAAGATGAATCAGCAAGCTCTTCATTGGTGGCATCTGTCGATGGTGCATTATCCTGAGGTCAAGCCTTGTCTGTGAATGATGGTGACAGTAAAAACTAAATAAATTAGACATAAATTTGAATATATTACCATCTAATTCGCTTGTATAGGCTGGACAGACTGGATGAACAAGAGCTGCTGATTCATGAAATCAGATCTGCATAGCCCGGTAGTTTCAAAACCTGGACGAAATATGCAACGTCTTTTCAGCATGGGAATGTATATATATATGAATGAGAGAGAGAGAGGCCTTTGAGTGCTCATATCACCCACGAAGCCAGTTTTTAGGTGTCGGGTCGCTGAAGGTCAATCTCAAATTGTAGACCTTGTCACAAGAATCATTTGGATCAGATTTGCCCATCCAAGTGCTGGTGCTTAGGTACATAAAAGCACCAAAATATGAATCGATGAAAGTTACGTACCTAAAAACTTATAACTGTTTCAGTTCAAACTATTGAGATGAGTGTTTTAACGAGATAGTTACCCTTCACATTCTACCAACCATCTACCGCCTACCGCCCGTGTTTGATAACATAAGTAGGTGGGCAGCCTCTGGAGTTGTTGTTGACTGAGCACGTTCATTACGGCATCTGATTACAGGAAGATGTCAAAAGATGCCATGACAAAGATCTGGAGACAAGACCTTGAAAGTCTCTAGTGTTGAACATCTGGAGGGATGTCGATAAAGTTACTGTAATCCTTCGAACCATGTTTGATGATAAATGATGACTACTCTCTCGACATCCGATCTGAAGCATGGAAGATGAAGAGGTAAGCTTTGAGAGGCCGAGACTCTGGAGGTCCGAGGCTCGTTGGCATGAACGCAGTTATGTAGGGTGTAGCTGAAACGCCCCGATAATTGGATCGTTTGAGGAAGTTTGAGGGTAAAAGTTCGTGGCGTTTAGACATCCAGAGCAATCCAGTACCCTCTAAATCTACTAAGTCTGTGAGCTTGGTTAGAAAATCTGAATACTAACAACAAAGAAATATGAACAGGTTTGCTGGCCGATATACATACGGAGTTGGAAGAATACACTCCGTCTGTGACCAGTAAAGGATTATGAACATTGGTGTACAGATCTGAACGTTCGGAACATTGGAGGAATTAGAGACAGCATACTGGAAAGGGGGTAATGGCAAAAGTTAAGTTGTTCAGTGTAGTTGGAAGATGTTAGGGATTTGCAGAAGTATTCACTTAATAACTTCAATAAGTGCAAAATGCAAAGTACAACATATTGGTTTCTCCAATGGCACCTAACGATTCACGTTTGGAGGAATTTCCCCTGGATGAGACAGTCTCTGACATAGCTCCAGATTTCAGCCATCAGGCCAATGTGCAGCATAATTGTGCTCAGACCATCACGTGTTTTGCCGGTTTCTTTACCTTGATTATCTTCAGTCCTGCTGGGGGAGGGGTACTTGCTTGAAGGACCTTAATTGCTATATAGTTTGTGAGCAAATTGATTTTACTCTTCGATAAGAGAACTTGAAGTTGAAGTGCTGGTCCATGAATAGATCACAATCTTGTGAGATGCGCATAAGGATTAGTTTCCGAAGCACGACAGCACGACACTTGAGGCCGAGGACCTTCGGAATGACAAATTAGGCAGAAACTAATACCACAGCTGGACTTAAATCTTGAGTATCACTGTTCCTAACAATCAGAGATGTTACAATTGTTGAACAAACGAAGCTTCAACTAGAATAGGTAGATATATACCACGAGGAAATGAATGAACATAATAAGTTATTACGATCAGCCCATTCATAAGCCATCAATTTTATTTATGAAGAAGACTAGTATTGTCACGACTGAACCAACAGGGCGACAAAAGTCAGGCTCTCAACCGTCGAGATGCCTAGTAAGGCAAATTCGAGTTCTCCGCAATACAATAATTACATCGTTATCACATTCTTCAACAAGTGTCGTGTGAAAGAACACTACATTCTACACCAAAATATGAGGACAAACTATGGGACTAGCCACGTTTCTATCTGTGACTTAAAGCCCGTGAAATGATCAGATGAACTTATAAACTGTACAACCTCGGAGTATCCCGGTGAGCGACATGTTTCTTTGAGGGGCAAAAAGTACTCTTGAACCTTCTAAATGACCGCTCTAAGCACACTGGCAGATTCACCGTATAACCCGATATCTCAAAACCTCTCGTGTATGACGAGAATCTCAAAATTACCATCCTACAAATCAACCAAGCATGGGGACTTTTGCAACCTTTTGATCGGCATCCTTAAAGATGCGAACCCTTCGAAGGTTGTAGTCCATTGTCATAAACGAATCCTGAGGGAGAATTACCACCTGGAGATGTGGATGATCTTCCTGAATCTTCTTCTTTGCCTCTTCGGCATTCTGTCCGACCAAGTGGGGCCAACTCTTCCCTGCGCGATCAAGACCACGTCAACTCTTCATCCCATCACTGAATACGTACACAAGTATGCCAGATCCAGACATAAAGTACTCAATATTATGCAATTTAGATCAAAATTTGCATCCAGTGCTACTCTAGAAGTGTTAAATCATCGTCTTATGTCATATTTTCAAAACTTGCATTTGAGTAAATTGGCATGCGTTGCGATTTTCGCAGAACCCGGGTTGGTTGCTTGAAGCAGCTCGCTCAGCCTCAGCAGTAGTGACTGACTCCTAGCATGGTCACTTGATGCATAATCATATACACCCTAGCCAGTCTATACACGCCTACACGGGAGCAGAGGTATGCAATTAAACGAGTTTCATTCTCTACTATGATCACTATGGCACGGCATCAATTATCTTTCACAATGTAGAGAATGTCTTAACTTTTGGATGAAGGTCAATTCCTGCAACTAATTCAAAAGTATCCGGGGAAAGCCAGATGCAGTATGTCTGAATATTAATGCACGAAAGAGCTGATCGGGCAACATTCAATCTCAAGATTACAAAGTATGATCCGTCTGCTCAATCGCATCGAGGCAATGCTAGTAACAGCAACACAAGGCAAATCAAAAGGGCTTGCAAAATCAAGCAAGAGAATGAAAAGAGGCCACATCACAAAATCACCACTCTTGAAAAACAAACACGACTTACTTGGACCAGTGGACGCCATTTCGTCTCCTCTATCGGTGCGATGAGGTAAGGGAATGTCTTTGGTAACTCCCGACTTCTTGAAATTGGCCGTGTTCACCACCAGCACCTGCCTGCTAGGCTCCGAATCGTCTGACATAGATTTGTAAGCGTATCCCGAGATCAGCACAATCGCTGCCACGGCCACCGCAAGAATCGTGATCGATTTCAGTCCTGAACTCAACTTGCGCGCACGGCTAGGGCTCGACACCAAGGGCGATGTGTCCATTACTCCCTCCTCTCGTCGATCGCTCGCTCGCTGCTCTCGACCTCTTCGCTGCGATCGGTTCTTCGCTTCGACGCGACCTCGAGCCTCGTCCCTCATCCCTCGTCTCCCTTGCGCTTCGCTCTCGGCTATTCCACGCTGTCACCACTCTACGTGTCGCTCCCTCGCGCGACACGTGTGCCCTCAATATGGCTCAACTCTTTCAGCAGGTCATGAGCCGGTCGCGAGGCGGTTGAAACCTTACGCTGATTCGATGCCCGACCGGCCCGGTCCCGTTTTGCGTGGGCGTCCTATTCTTAAGGACTCTTGGCGACCAGCCTCTCGTGGGTGGAATGAACGTATACGGAGTACGCACAGGCGAAAATTCGCTGCCAGTTACGAGAATTCCAACCCGGATGATCCAATAACAAAGCAAAAGTCCCAACGAGAAAACACGAAGAAGCTACGAGAGAACATCCTACATTTTGAGACTTTACGATTACCTTCACTTCATACTCGCCATGCGAGAATGTCCTACGTTTTGAAACTTCACAAGTCCCTTCACTTTATGTTCGCCGGTGGACCCATAAACTGCTTGTGTAGAAAGTTCCTCATCATTCCAAGGGCTTGATATTGACATATACGGTATATGTCAATATGTAAAAATTGCAAAAGGTATATGACGTACCTTTTGCAATTTTGAGATGCAGTTCGGGTAACGGGATGTGCTATATGTATGTGAGTTCCATAACAAGAATATCAGGATCTGTCTTCCCTTACTATGAACTCTAGTATCCTCTTTAAAACCAATCATCTTTAATCCATCATCTTCATTCATATCACACTTTTCTTACTCAGTCAACATATTTTCTTCTAGGTGTAGTTAGGGTGGACAAGATATGCATTTTTTCAAAAATTACCACAAAGGTTTTCATTTTTTTCCTCTTTGTATTTATATATCATATAGCTCTGTGGTCAGATATTTTCAACTCGCTTTATGTTTTTACAGCAATTGTTTTCATTCCATTGACTATCAATGCTCTCGCAATGACAAGACTTTGAAATCTTGACTACAGTATACATAAAGACAAACCCAATATACTTCTTCATAGCATTTGAAGTTCCGCCTTGGTTTCTTCATTCATCTTTAAATTTAATACTTAGATCTGAATCCGTGTTTACATGAGTTAGTATTGAAAATTTATATGATTAATAATTCATATGAAGAGCAAATGATATATACTCATGGTTTATGAAGTATATATGATTTTTTCTATGATACAAAGGATTGATACATTCTCACATGAGAAATCTTACAATTAGAATCTTCAATTGACTTGTATTCTTATGTATTTATAGTCGATTTGAAAAAGCTTAACTTGTGTTCCATATCCTAAGCTCACAAGTCCTTCACATGAGTCTTTTTTGAGTAAATAATCACTATTCTTATGAACTGATCGATGACATCAAAATTTTTTAGCACACTGATTTTTTTTTCTTTAAATTATTTCTTTTAGCTTTGGAATTATATATGTGAATATTGAATTCAATCAATCCATAAAAGATAGCATGAAACTTGAACATATAAGTTGACATGAAATAATATCATTATAAATTTAATTTCATTAAAATAGATTAATTAACACAAATACATTGCTATTCTGAAACTCATCAGCTAACCATCAAAGATTAATAAAATCAGATTTTAAGTATTTATATAAAAAAATTTAGATCCAACAATATGAGAATGCATATTCAAGCAATCCACTTCAAATAATCATATCATAAGTTTATATTATTCAAGACGAAAATAAAAGCTGTAAAATTAAACTTCAGTGAATATTTTATGGATTTCAAGTTAATATTTTGTACGGTAATAATCTAAATGTGTTAGTTTAATTGGTATAATACTAATCTATGTGCTCAAAATGAAATACCTGACGGCTTTGATCTGCAAAAAGATTTATGAATGATATTGATAAAACTCTATTATCATGACTTTTTTATAATAATTCACATGAGTTAAAAGATAAAACATTTTAATAGATGTTTTTAAAATTTGAATGTTACATCATATTATCTTGTAAAATTACTATGATATAAGACATATGTTGTTTATTTTTTAAGTTTAAATAACTCTCACTGAATTACAAGAAAATAAAGTGATCACATAGAAGCCTGCATAGCTCACTGATCTACACATGAATTATAGAAAAAAAAAAAAAAGTTTGTGATCGTGAAGATGCATGTAAAAAGTTTTATACCAGAATGAGCAAATTTCAATCCATTCTGCAAATATCTTAAATAAAAAAGTATGTATTGTGAATGTATTGTGATATAAAATAAAATGAAAATTTTATGATTTCAATTTCAATGAATTTATTATATCATTTCAAAATGATAGATAAGATCAATAATTTTGATGGTCTTTCAATGAAAATTATAAAAAGATACATATACAATTTCAAACTAAGTATTGGATGGATTTGAATTCATAACTATATACTTCAATTAGATTCAATATATATTTAAAAAGATATATTAAGAGTGATTTATATTTAAATTATGGTAAAATAATCAAAAATTTATTGTATAATCGGTTTAGTCTCTTATGAATAATGTTTTGAAATTTATTTAAATAAAACATGAACAGATTATTTTGTATTACTGAATTTTTCATGAGACAATACAAAAATTCAGATTTAAAAAATAATTTAGTAGAGACACAACAAAGAAAACTAATCATCCGTTTGATCTTGGTTTTCGAGGGCAAAGCATATAAGATTATTTGTTACAAGTAAGAAGATATTTTAAAAAATGATTCGGAGAGATTAGTGAAAAGTTGAATACTTAACTAATATACAAGTTTTATCTCAAGCAATTCTTACTTATAATGAAAGTTCAAATATGAATAGTTCATGCTTTTAATTGTTAATGTATTATTACAAAGAACAATTAAAAAACATCATTTAAAAAACTATCAAATTTTTAAAGCTGAAACTTGTTTTTGAAAATGAGTATCATCATTTAAATATCTAAAACTTTTTTGTAATTGTTTCTTATTCATAATTAATTATCATCAAATTAACAATCATGTTTTGAATGCATAGTATGAACCTTATATCTCATAAATCATAAACCCTGGATGTTAAAACCCTAAACTTTTGTTGAAACGAAAGTTTATGTCATTGTTGGTATGTTTTCAACATAATGATCAACTAGATGGAACATACAAGATTGTATTTCATGTGATTCCACAAACTGAAAAGTTTTTTGCATAAAATTAAGTAGTTTCTGGATTTTTGCAGCTTGAAAAAAAATTTAGTTTGTCATTTCGCATGCAAGCAAGTAAGGAACACTGAGAGTTGACATTTTTTTTCTAATCTACAATTACCTGCAATATAAAAGAAAATTTTTGTATTAAATTCAGATTCATTTGGATATTGTGAGAAACATCATGATGAAATAATAAGCTGTTATTTCTACTAGACATATTGATGCAAACATATATATTTTTTCAACAACCAGGTTTTCATAAATTGTTTTTTAAGTGCATCCTATTTTTGAATTTTTTTATATAAATATAATATTAAATTCTAATTTTCAGAATTAAATTATGAATTTCATATTTGATATATGGTTTAAAAAATGTGTAATTTTTTTTAAAACTTAATTTTGAATCTTTAAGCTTGATGAAAAAAGATAGATTTTAGCAATTTTATTGATTTGAATAATAATTATTTATCTTATTGAATTTTTTTAGAAGAGTATATCAAGAGTAATAAATTGATTTCAAATAGTGTTTTGAAAAATAATTTCTCTTTTTAAAAGATATTATATAAATTATGTAAACTATTTTAGCTGATCTGATAAAAATATATAGATTTTTCTTTATTAGAATGATATACATTCTCTTAAAATTCTTTTGAAAGCACCAAGATGTTTAACGAGGTTACCGACGAGATATTTTTTGGCGTGAGATACTTTGTTTTTTTGGTGGTTTATCCATTTTAGTAGAATTTTAAATAATAATAAGGTCCAAACATTTTCATGAAATCTTTTTTAAATTATGAAATTTATACTGTGAAATTTTTTTTAGTAATTAATATTGGTAATAACATATTACAAGAAAATAAGAGAAAATTTTAAATCTTTGGTGAATACTAATAATTACTAGTTGGACAAAACATAATCAAGCTCATTATGCTTTTATGCTAAGTCGTAGTGGTATTATTTACGAAATCCGAAGGGCTCAGGAATTCGAGTATACTCAATTCAAAAATCATATTTGGTATACGTCTTGCTCTTGAAATTTTTTTGATTTTTTTTTGGATCTTGTGATCTCAAAAAATACTTTCATCATTTGCAATCTAAGTATTTATCCGAAAGTTCAAGTATATAATAAATTGAAAATTAGAAAAAAATATTAAGTACAATAAAAGTAACATTTCATTTTTTTAATGATATTCAATTGACTTTTTTTGTATTTTATGATACATTTTGAAATTCTCGTTATGAAAAATTTGCAATTGTAATATCGTTTTTAAAGGATAATTTGCATGTTAAATAACTGTTTCAGATATCTTTTATAATTAAACTTCAATATCATGAGAATAAAGTATGATGATGATTTAAAATTTAGCTTCAGAAAAATGTCCTATATTATTTTGATAAACGAGTGAAATATCATACTAGAATGTTTTTTGATTTTTAAGGAGGTGTTGTTGCTAATTTGCATATGCAACTACTTTCCTTTTGAAATATTTTATCTTGATATTCTAGTTTTTTTTTATGCACAGTATATCTGTGCATGAATGTGTTACATGATGATAATATCATAATAATCACAAAACATGAAAGAACAATGTTTTTTGACGATTTGATTGTCCAGATTTGCATAGGTGTGGGATATTTATTTTGTAAATATTGTATACAATTTTTAACTAATATTATGCATAGTAATAGTGATTTTAACACTACTTATGAATCAATTTTTGAATAAATTTTATTGCTTTAATTATGGTAAGGTAAACTAGGACATTCACACTTATAATTCAAATGATAAATACATTGGGGTGATACAAACAAACTTTTGGACAATATGACTTTATAGGTAAACTCGAT